ATAGCATGGTTTCGAGTGCAATTTGGATATAACATGCACGAGTGAGTTTTTCAAAGACCTCAAAATAGCACGAGTCCGAAGGACGAGTGCTATTTGAGGTCTTTGAAAAACTGACGAGTGCATGTTTATCCAAATTGCACGAGAAACCATGCTATTACTTGTTAATAATGTGCATAAAAGTATTCGAGACAATCAAATTTGAACTTGACATTTATTAATAAACAAAGAACAAATATATTAGCTACACGTCAAAAATCAAAATGCATGCATAAACTAGGCAAAACAAAACAAAACAAAACACTTTGTTTGTACAAAGCACTTACTTGTTCGTGTCCGGGTAATTTTTAAGCGCATAACTATGTATAACAATATATAAAACAAAAGCGCATAACAGTATATAAAACAAAAGTTCAAAACAGTCAATCAGAGTCACTTTCAATCATGTAAGCGCGACGTCGCTTCGGGTTCGAAGTATGCTGAGGCAGAATTGGCGAAGTCATCGTTGAACCAACTGAGAAAGTTACTTGGCAGTTGTTGAAATTGTTGTTGTTTAACATTTTCTGTCGACTTTCTTGTCTCACCGTTGCTTGACTCAGTTGATTACTGCTGCTCACGTTTAGTTGACCTTGCCGTTGGAAATCAGCAAGAAAGGCTTGCTGTTGTTGCATTGCCATTTTTGCCAGGCTTGAAGTGGATGCCCCATCGCGACGTTGTTGTGGATTATTTCTCCATGATATCCTGGAAGACATTTGCTGCTGTTCTTGTTCGTCTCCTTCATCATAATCGTCGAGCGATTGCAAGTTGCGGTGACCAGTTACTTTCACGATCGAGGAACGCTCAACGTTGTTCTTTTTCAATTTGTTGACTACCGTCTTACGAGCACTGTGGTTTGTCAATTTCTTTTGTTGTTGATGCTCAAGTTGTGTTTCCTGGACAATCCTTTTCATCATTTCGTTGATGCGATTTGTGCCCATAGGTTGAGCTTTGTACCAAGTGTTGTTGTTGGAGTTGTACTTTATCGACAGGTAAAACGGGCCGGAATTTTGGAGTGCTGCTGGTCGCCGAGACAAGTACTCATTGAACAGAGCAACAGGACATCTTTCATCACCTGTAGCATACATCTTGGGCAGGAAATCTCTCGACTTTTTTGACAAGCCTCCATTTCTTGTTTTGGTGGGACCTTCGATGTATTCAACGTACTCGAGTCCGTCGTTGTCTTTGCCAATTGGAAGTCTTCAACTTTCATGCCGTGATGCTCCTGTCGTCCGCGAAGGCCAAAATATTGTGTCAGCAACCACCACATAGTATTGATTAAACTCTCGGCTGTTTTATTACCCAGTTTTCCGTTGGTCCACAGGAGTTCTTCCTCCTCTTGCGTTAAACTTCGAGCTTTGTTTGGTCTCTTGCCTTTCCCTTCTTCGCGTAGACGCTTTGCCTTTCCCTCGAGAACTTTTTTGATTTGCAAAATTCCCGGTCTGGTATTATGGACTTCTGATAACCACAGTCTTTCAAATAACGGTCCAAGGCTGCTATCATAACGCGGAGACTGTCTGGTTCGTATTCACCGCCATCCTTGTTCCTCACTTCACCGTAAAATTTCTCCAAAATTTTGTCTAAGTCGAACGCCTCGTACGTTTCAATGGCCTCAGAAAAACCTCGCTCCTTTGCCCATGATTTAAAAACGCCAAGCCAAAAGACTGTGCTTCTCTTGGTATTTGTACTTTTTGCATTATTTCGCAGTTCTTCAATTGAACTCACTTCCAAGTGCGGGAATCGTTCCCCACCGCTAAATGCGGCCATGTTTGTTTTGAAAAAAAAAGAACATTTTGCCGCCAAAACGTAGCTCAATTTTGATTGGTTCATAGTGATAACAGAAAATTGCACTGTGATTGCAGAAAATTGCACCGTGATTACAGAAAATTGCACTGTGATTACAGAAAATTGCACTGTGATTACAGATTTTTGCACTGCTGTTTGGGATTAACTGCACTGAAATCAACCAATCACAATCGAGTAATACTTTTATGTATACTATTATACGTAATATAAGCTTGAATTTAAGGTAAAATTCAACCACAAACGCTTCGCAAAACGTTTTAAAATGTTCTTTTACTATATATAAACTGCCTTTATCGATAAACTTTGAGTTCGAAATAAAATGATTCCAAATTCTCCCATGCAAATAACTTTGCTTAGTATAATAAAAAGTGTAATCAATAAAGAAACACTGAAATAATACGCTGTCTTGCTTCATATTTATACACAACGATCGGCTTTTGAAGTAATTACAGTAGGTATGTTATTATACGTAATATAAGCTTCAATTTAAGATAAAATTCAACCACAAACGCTTCGCAAAACGTTTGAAAGTGTTCTTTTAATCTAGAACTAAACTGCTTTTATCGATAAACTTTGAGTTCGAAATAAAATGATTCCAAATTCTCCCATATAAATAACTTTGCTTAGTATAATAAAAAGTGTAATCAATAAAGAAACACTGAAATAATACGCTGTCTTGTTTCATATTTTATATACACAACGATCGGCTTTTAAAGTAATTACAGCCGAGATTACAGTATATTAAAAGCAAACAATGCATCAATATTTAAAACAAACTTACCTTCGTTAACGTCGGCACCTTTACTTCCTTCTTTTAGCAATCCTCTTGCCTTTATTTCATCAAAAATCCTTTGCAATTTACAAAATCTTGCAAAAATGAAATATATTTGCAAGAAATCATCAAATCAATTTTGCTGTCGTCAATCGTCATGCAGCCGTTATAATGCCAATTTTAAATTGGACCAATCAGTGTTGCCTATTCATTACAGTCCGCTATATTATGAGATCAGTGAGGATGACCACCCACCGAAACACGCACAGTGACCCACGCCCGCGATATTTGATGAACTTTAGACTTCGCTAATGCTTTCGTTTCCCCGGGTGTAAATAGCCGGGGGGAATTAGTACCCTCGCACGGCGCTTCGCGCCGTCGGCTCGGGGATAAAAATCGAGTATTTTGATAGCGTTGGCGGCTTTGAGGCTTTCAATTGTATTACTATTTATAATTTAAATTGTGTTTGATATTTATATTTCATGTTGTTTACAAAATATGCTGTAGTTTTGAAGCTTTGCACACAATATAATCAGTGCGAGCACAATGGCTCCGTTTCAGTTTGAGTATATAAAAATCGAGTATTTTGATAGCGTTCGCGGCTTTGAGGCTTTCACGGTATATAAATATAAACGCGTGATAGTTTATAAATAATCAGTGCGAGCACAACGGCTCCAAAATCACAACAAATAACAAAATATAAGGTAAGTTAAACAGTAAAGCTTGACCTACCTCGATTTATTTTTCTAAGGCGCTCGATTATGTAAATTTTCGGCGAATAATCAATATATAGATTTTCTTTGCGTTTCCTCGACGAAAACCCGGCATGAAAATGTTCGTCGGAACCTCGGTATTTGTCGTATTTTACGAATCTGCCACGTGACTGGTACGCTCACCGACCACCGCTCACCGAACACGACACGAAATTTAGAGCTATATGAAAGTTGCATGCCATATATGGCATGCAACAAAAACGAAAGGTGAGGTTACATCACACGCCAATTGAGAAAAACGAAATTTTCGAGAGGCCGTAGCTCACAATTTTTTTTGCTAATTTCGCGAATCTCGGGTATGTGTGAGGTTTTGATAATTTTCGGCGTTTAAAATAATATTTCTTCAGCGAAACTTTCAGTATACATATAGATTATAGCCGTAGGCGAAATTTTTCAGTTTTGAGAGCAAAACTAATTGTTTTGCCGCTTTTGGGAGCTTTCAAAATGGTTGTAAAACTTTTGAAATGGATAAAAAATTACTATTTTCGACCCTCGACCTCGACGTACGACCCTCGTTATAAGCGTCAATTGCATTTAGGTAATGAGTTCCACAGTTTAGCTCCATCACAACAGAAGCTTTTCTTAAGGTCGAGAAATAAGCGAGATTTAAAAAAGCTTTTAAATGTTTTCCACGTCATTTTAAAAGTTCTTTCAGATAAGGGAATCTAATTTCTATATTCATGCTATTTCCGATCATATCCCTCAACAGGGCCGTTCCTAGACGCGATAATGGGGGGGGAGGGGGTATATTCATATATTCATGCATGCTCGCTACCATAAAAACAATCGCTTTCAAAAGAAATCCGTCGGGCAGAAGACGAATATATGAACATGCACCCCCAATTATCACGCTAGGAACGGCCCTGTCCCTTTAATTAAACGACTGAACTTGCCCGGCTTCAATGAAAATAAGGCCGAAGTTTGACGCTTAAACTGAACTGCTTAGAGCACAACATGCTCAAATATAAGTAATTGACTGTTTATAGTAAGTATATATAGCCTTGAATCTAGCGAGTGTACAAGTGTTTCTAGTTTATTTTAATTGGCGCGCATGGATCGATCAATTGAAACAAGAATTTGAAGCAGAAATCTTAGTCCTGGAGAGTTTAACAGCGTATTTTTATCTAGAAATAGGCAAACTAGTTTAAAATGATCTACGTCTTATATTTCCTATCAATAACAAGAGAAAACAAGCAAGAATAATTAAAGGTAGGTTACAGTCCCTTCTGCGCATGTCTGTGATTGTTTTTGCCTGGGGACTCCACCGGAAGTTGGGCATCTCGGTTTATACTCGGTTCAGTCTCATTTCTGGCAATAACACGCGCGTTGTTTTTTTCGCAAGCGAAGGAGTGAAGCTAAAAGTTTCCAAAATACATTGAGCTTTCTTGAGCGACAATCCTTCAAATAACGAGTTTTTGAGGCAACATGACTAGTAGGAAAGAATACCACGCTAGCAGGGATGCTTCCAAAGTGTATAAAAGTGTATCTATTTTATTGTTTTCCTCGATGGAGAGCGTGCCATTTCTGTCTGCGTTTCTCCATGATATACCTACATCTTCAATCTTCTACTAAAGGTTTTCAAGAAAAGAATCCAAGAAGGATTGGACATTTCACCCAACATAGCTGCTATTCACTCCCTTCACTGCATGTGGATACTTCAGTGAAATCGCTTGTTGAAGCCCATCAATCGAGGTTTTAATGATTATAAAATTCTCTTTATTTACTATTCTAACTTTAAACTATACACTATCGTTACATACGAACTGTTTTCTCTTTTATTTACAAACTGAAACCCATATAATTAAGGCCTAAAGATATGATACTCGTGAGTAGGAGTTGTCAATGAAAAAGTGTTAATATTAGGCCTATATAGTGTTTATTTATTTATAAAAGTAAGAATTTTTGGTGCTGATAGCTGTTAAAAAGTCAGCGATTATAAAATTTGATTCGTAGTTGGATTAACTAAACACACTTTGGTGTATAAGGTTTAAAAATTGACGTTTAAAAATTAAATTAAATTAGCTCAGGTAACCGGGCTTGCTCGCCTCCATATAAACACCGCCTAAGACATTTAGTTTATAAAACATTTTGATCACAGAAACTTATATGATGTAAACAAACTCAATTAATAATTACTAGTATATTTTTTCACCCTAAGCTTGCATATAAGAATCTACAATTTAAGAACATGTGAGGCTAAATTTTTTTATTTAGTCAAATAGACACCCTAAATAAGAATTTGTTTAGGTTAGCATTTCATGTTCTTATTCTTTATTTTATCACATGAAAACAAATCAAATCTAAAAATGTATATAAATCAAAGAAAATAAACTCTTCACAAAGTAATGAAAATGATCCAGAACACTGAAAATGTCATTGAGATAAATAAAGTGTTAGCAGGTTTACAGTATACTGAGCTTTACACATAGCTATTAGTTAGATAATTTGTGCACAATTTATATATATGTATATACATGTAAATTATACCTCGCATACCAAAAATGAGTTGCTTTTCTTTAAGAATTTAACCTAATTTCCAAGCTCTAATGATCATGTAGTCACTACATGTATTGCCCAAAGGTGGGATCTGGGGGGTTGAAATCCGAGCTTTCTTTCTCCTAGATGGATTGCCTCCTACACAAAGCATTCTGAAACACAAGCCAGTTCATATTGTACTATGATTGCCTGATCTTGTGCATGTCACAAAGAGTGGCACCATCCCATATATATATTGTCAGAACAAGCTGCCATGCCCATGGCCTGTTTTGTGACATGAAATCAAACAACACAGTAAAACTCTGCATATAATAAGAACCTAGGTTTTTTCCAAGTTAGCCTAAACAGGTTCTTATGTGAATGGTGCTTACCTGAATTCATGTCACAAACTGCAATTATATTAAGTATATTCAGTACTTTCATGGAGGCACAAGCCCTTGAGTCATATTCATGCCTATACCCTTGGATATATGTGTTTTAATAATAAGTGTCTATAAATTATTTGTATTATCATATAACCCAATAAATCTGTTAAGAAAAAGAAAGACTGATTCGTTGATGTAAATAAAAATTTCATCAGTGTTTCCTGAGCATTCTGATGAGCTCTGATATACAGCGAAACAAGCATATATTTAGCAATTGTCCTCTGTCTTGAAGAGACATGATGAACTAACGTGATCACTAGATTGACCAGAATTGTTTAAGTTAATATTACTATTAGATCATTCAGTGTCACAAGAATATCATCATTTAGTGTCAATATGAGAGTAATATCAATGAATTCATACTTCCAGTTCATAATTTCAAAACATACATATTTATAACACAAAAAAGTTGAATATAATCTTAGCGTCTCGTACTCTCGTCACTGTCAATCTATTGAACTCTTTTGTTGTTTATAACGAACTCATCTCCATAGCGCGCACGAGCTTGAACAAAAGCTGTTTATCCGGCATTTGCACGGTCAAAAATTTCGCCCTTGGCTTTGCCACGAAGACAGGAACTGCTACCACATTCTCAATCACACTTGTTTCGAATTTCGTCAAGCGAAAAGCTTTCCCCAAGGCCAAGCGCTTCTGTCATAATGACAACAACAACACTGGCAACATGTTTCGAGGGATTGATACCGCATTAAATATTTTCATGACACACTCCAAAGGTAAACACAAATTATTCGAACCCACACCTTCGGGATTTCGGTTCACCGCCCCAGCTGTTGATATAGCAAGTCGCACAACGTTCAAAGCGGCCTCTTTATAACTGTATTCACGATGTTTACAGTTAAACAGTTACAGTAAAAGATTGTGTTATTGTGTTCAAAAATTTCCAGCGTAGAAATGTACAAGAAATGAAGCGAAGTATTGTCAAACATTGCACTCCTCGGTCACAAATTATGTGGAATGTTACTTTGAACTCGTCATATACTTCATCTTATATAATTAATGTGGATCAAAACAAAAAACGTAAACAAGGCCCGCGCATGCGCAGAAGGGTCTGTAACCTACCTTTAAGGTTCGACTGTCTATAAGTGAAGCAAAGTGCCTAATTGTCTGAGGATTTTTAAGGTTTTTTTGTGATTTTCTCGATATTATAGACAGTATAATTCCGCGGTAACAAAAAGCCCCAAAATAATTTTTACATCAGGTTTTAGAGAAATAGTTTGTCTTTAAATTCCGTAAATTTCAAGGAAATTGGAATTTTCCCGGATACGGAAAATTAATTTTTAAAAAGTGTAACAATTTGGAATTTTTTGGATCGCAAAAAAAGACGATTTTTACACGCTTGTCTTGACATTGAAAAATCAATTCAAAAATTGCAAATTGGACCCACGTTCTTTATATACATCTTATAAACACGTTTAAAAACGAAAGGTGAGGTTTCATCACACGCCAATTGAGAAAAACGAAATTTTCGAGAGGCCGTAGCTCACAATTTTTTTTGCTAATTTCGCGAATCTCGGGTATGTGTGAGGTTTTAATAATTTTCGGCGTTTAAAATAATATTTCAGAAAACAAACCCCACCACGTTTCTGAGTACACATTAGAGTATCACTGGAAAAAATAAGAAGATTTTTTATTTTTCCTCATGTGCCACGTATTCTCGATTTTGCTCGGTTTTAGTGGACATTGTCTCTTAAATGTTAAAGTCCTGTATTGTCAACTTCGGTCACACAAAATCATTGCTTTGCATGGAGAGTTATGCGAAAATGAGGAACTATCCAGGGTAGCTGAATGTTCAATCAGCACTACAAATAACTGTGAAAATTATTAAGCACAATCAGATGATGGATCAATTTCCATTAAAGTTGAAAGTCCTTCCCAATCACCGTCATCAACAGCCACTAGTGTGAAAGAACGTGAAGATGACATTGTTATTCCGTCTTCCACTGGCACAAGTTAAGCAACGTAAAACTGGGCTTCTACATGCCTGTTAAACCAGCCTATTTAGAAAAGAACATTGCATCACTCACAAAAACAATGAGAAAGGATGGAAAGTGGTGAGTGATGAACATATCAATCATGCTCAAGTGTGCACACATAGATGGATTTCAATTTTCAAGCGGTGTCATTTTTTTGTCCTAAAGGATTCCAAAATGTTGGAACACCAAAGAAAGAGTTATTCAAATTATGAATGTTACAGGAGACCACTGCACAACAGTTAGTAATGTCAGAGGCGCCGGAATATCGATAACTGGGGGCAGATATTCATATATTCGTGTTCTGCCCAATTAATTTCTTTTGAAATCGATTGTTTTTACAGTCTGTGAAAACGAATATATGAATATCTGCCCCCGCTATTATCGATTCTACGGCGCCTCTGAGTAATGTTGACTGTGGAAATGATGAGGTTATGGTTTAGTTTACGACTTGCTGTATGAAGATTTCAGCCCCTTCGTTAAACCGAAATTTAAAACAGATGGCATACATGGTTCAGTTCACAATTTCAGTGGGTGTGTCTTCGGCAAACATTAGGAAATTTACACTTTTCAAACCGAGTTTCAAACTTTAAATAAAAATGAATTCAGTCAGATACATCATGGTAACATGGTAATTTAACCCATTAGAGTGCGTGACTCTCCCCTTGACGAGCAAAATCGTCTGGCGTTTATAGACAGAGCTAGTAAAAGAATAAAGTTAGGTGCATTGCTGCTTAATGGGTGTTGGGTATAATGTTCTGATATTTAATAAACTTCTTGATCTCTCGGTTACATGTAAACAACTGAATATGTAATGTCAATATTCTAAATATAAACTAATCGTAATACGTGAGTTAATTAATGATTAGTATAGGTAATAGCATGGTTTGAGTGCAATTTGGATATAACATGCACGAGTGACTTTTTCAAAGACCTCAAAATAGCACGAGTCCGAAGGACGAGTGCTATTTGAGGTCTTTGAAAAACTCACGAGTGCATGTTTATCCAAATTTCACGAGAAACCGTGCTATTACTTATTAATAATTTACATAAAAATGTTCGAGACAATTGTAGTTTTAACTTACGCGTTGATAGCGAACATTCCACTGGCAAAGTTTTCCTGGCTTTGTTATATACATTATGCAACGCTAACAGCTTGAAAATTCCACTCAACTATGTAATTTTTGTTATAGTCTTGTTTAAGGTCAATGCTTTTCTATTTAAAAATAAAGATAAAAGCCATATTTTTCACGCGAAAACAACTTTTACTTTACTGTAGCGCGGCGCCATGTTTGTTTTGATTTGAACCAATCTGTGACTGTTACTTCATAAAAAAAATTGCTTTAAACTGATTGGTTGATTTAATCATCACAATCAGATTAGTTTGTTACAGATTTTTGCACTGTGATTACAGAAAATTGCACTGTGATTACAAAAAATTGCACTGTGATTACAGAAAATTGCACTGTGATTACAGAAAATTGCACTGCTGTTTGGGATTAACTGCACTGAAATCAACCAATCACAGTCAAGTAATATGTTTATGTATATTATTAATAGACGTACATTACTATATTGGGTAAGCAAGACACATTGACAGATTGTTTGGTTAATCCATTAGAGTGTCAGAGACTCCCCTTAATGAGTATAACATTGTCTGGCGTTAGACAGACTAAAAGAATAAAGTTGGGTGCATTGCAGCTTAATGGAATAATGGGGTTAATCAATAGCTAAATGTATTGCTACGCCTCATAGTTACTGTCTGAAATAAGTATTGGGATCTATTTAGAAACTACAAATTTTCAGTTTCATTGTGAAACTAGTTGGTTCAACACAATTTCTTTCTTTCAACTAACTGAATGCAATTATGCAAACTCAGAAATAATATATACGTTCGGGAGCTTGAGATCTCGTGCATGAAGTCTTGTCTCAAACTAAAAGTGTGAAGCGTCTATATATATATATATATATATATATATATATATATATATATATATATATATATATATATATATATATATATATATATATATATATATATATATATATATATATGACAAAATACAATATTCGTATCAGCCAGTTCGACATTTATATACAACAGAATAGCTTGCTACGATCCGAGAGAAACCAATACTAAAAATGTACTAAAGTAATAAAATTTTAATTTTCGACTGAATGTCTCAGCCTTCCTCATATATATATACATATATATATATATATATATATATATATATATATATATATATATATATATATATATATATATATATATATATATATATATATATATATATACCTAAACAAGTATAACAAAATTAATAAGACTTTGACTGTTTATATTTGTATTTGTATTTGTATTTAAAAAAGAACCTCTGCTAGCTAACGCTAGTTTACACGAGGTCTTAAAAATAGGATTACCGTACAAGATAAAAAGTCTATAAATCTAGGTATTCGTAAATATTACTAAAATACGTTAAAAGTTCAAATAGTGAAAAATAATTATATGAACCAGTCTAGCTGTTTAAGAACAGCAGACTTAAACATGGATTTGGAAGATATGATTTTTATAGTATAGTCTAAATTGTTCCATAGACGGATAGCTATAGCTCTAGTCCTAAAAGCCCGAGCTCAAAAGGTTTTCTTCTTTAACATAGGTTTCCCTAACAACATATTATCACTTCGACACCTCGACGAAAATCTAGTATTGTGTTCATGAGTAATTTCAAATGGTTTAAAATTCACGTAAATTGAATTTGGTTCACCAGAATAAAGTACATTATGCAATGCCATTAAGGTTCTGACATGAATCCTTTGTCTCACTGTTAACCAACCTATTTCATCATGGAGATTTTCCCTAGATATTTCATCAACCTTATATCCTATGATCAATCTGGCGGCCTTGTTCTGAAGTTTTTGTAAATTATTAATCGACTCTTGATTTTGCGCAGATCCCCAAACCCTACAACAATAGTTCAATTTTGACAGTATGAGTGCCTCAGCGATAATCTTTAAAACTTTTGATGGAATATATCTGCTGAACTTGAACAGTAAACCAAGAGCTTTGGAACAATCTTTAAGTAGATCTTCACAATGCTGCTTCCAACTTAAGAGACAATGTCCACTAAAACCGAGCAAAATCGAGAATACGTGGCACATGAGGAAAAATAAAAAATCTTCTTATTTTTTCCAGTGATACTCTAATGTGTACTCAGAAACGTGGTGGGGTTTGTTTTCTGAAATATTATTTTAAACGCCGAAAATTATCAAAACCTCACACATACCCGAGATTTGCGAAATTAGCAAAAAATATTGTGAGCTACGGCCTCTCGAAAATTTCGTTTTTCTCAATTGGCGTGTGATGAAACCTCACCTTTCGTTTTTAAACGTGTTTATAAGATGTTTATAAAGAACGTGGGTCCAATTTGCAATTTTTGAAATGATTTTTCAATTGTCAAGACAAGCGTGTAAAAATCGTCTTTTTTTGCGATCCAAAAAATTCTAAATTGTTACACTTTTTGAAAATTAATTTTCCGTATCCGGGAAAACTCCAATTTCCTTGAAATTTACGGAATTTAAAGACAAACTGTTGCTCTAAAATCTGATATAAAAATTATTTTGGGGCTTTTTGTTACCGCGGAATTATACTGACTATAATATCGAGAAAATCACAAAAAACCCTTAAAAATCCTCAGACAATTAGGCACTTTTCTTCAACTGTAGACAGTCGAACCTTAATCATTCTTGCATGCTTGTTTTCTCTTGTTATTGATAGGAAATATAAGACGTAGATAATTTTAAACAAGTTTGCCTATTTCTAGATAAAAATACGCTGTTAAACTCTCCAAGACGTCTAAGATTTCTGCTTCAAATTCTTGTTTCAATTGATCGATCCATGCGCGCCAATTAAAATAAACTAGAAACACTTGAACGCGATGATACAAAATTTGCATTTCGTCAGTTCCGTAGCTAGCTCGATAATTGGGGGGGCAGATATTCATATATTCGTGTTCACAGACCATAAAAACAATCGATTTCAAAAGAAATTAATAACGCAGAACACAAATATATGAATATCTGCCCCCCCCCCCCAATT